TATTGGGTATATGTTTCTATATTCATTTGAGAAATACATACCGTACACGTAGGGTAAATGAGAAATCAGCAAGGAGGAACAAGAGAACTCTGATGCACTGAATCAACTCTGTAGGAAAAGTTGAACATTCAGTTAAGTGTTTATTGCATGAGACGAAATTTTGAAGAATGGCTTTTTAGGCAAACTTGTCTAAAATGTCCTTAAAGTCTTCTAAAGCTAATAAGATACAATAGTCCACCCAGAAGGATATAAGAAATCGTATCATTCACAGAATGTCAAGGATAAGTGATTTTTATAAATATAAAATTAAATTGAAAGTGCCCTCTGACGAATTGCTTTAAAAACAGATCCTTTAACTGCAAACCTTAGATTTAGGCAAGCTAGTCATTAGGTAAACAGATTTTAGGCAAATTAGCTTCCAGTAAATTGGTTTCCTGCAAATTGCTTTTACTTTTTACACGTTGAGGGCATAGAAATAGAACCTAGAGACTATGCTGATGACCTCTCAGGATGGGCTTTGCCCAGGGGCTGGGCGGAACTGATGCCTCCTGGCCATAACTGATGCCTCCTGGCCATCGAATGCTGGGATGGCCCAGCCTCGGGCAGCATTGTACTACGAGCAGTTTAACACCCCGAATCAGTGAGTCTCAACTCCCTGTGTGTAGTAAGCACCTGTGTGTAGTAAGCACCTGGGAAGCATTTAAAATCCAAATTCCCCGTCCAGAGATTCTGATCCAGTAGGTCAGAGGTGAAGCCCAGGAATTTCAACTTCTAGCCGGCATCAAGGACGGTTGCAGGTGGTCCAAGAACTCCACTCTAAGAATTAGTGCCGTTGTTTGTTTGTGTTCAGAGAAAAGGACAAGAATAAGAGGCTCAGAGTGGTTTTCAAATGTGGCTTTCCAAAAACAATGCTGGACACTCCCTGCACCGCCCCGTAGAATCCCTGAGGGGGCGTGGGGGTTAGCTTCGGGGTGATTCTAGGGTACCCCTGGATGAGGCTGCAAGAACGCTTGGCATGGAGTCCTGGGCCTCACTACTCGGAGCACCCTGTGGGGAGTGCTGAAGCGTGCCTGGGAGGAGCCATCCAGGACCCAGTTGGGAAGCCAAGGCTAACCCAAATGGAGCCAGCAGTAACCAGCACAAAATCGAGCAGAATTAAATGAAGGTGCTGATTATCAGGGTCACAGGAGTTCAGGGCGGAAAGGCTGCAAGGGGCAAGTGGGGCCCTCAGTTGTGCTTTGCAAGGTGAATGCAATTTTGATCATCAGGCAGGAGCAGGGAGGGGATTTCAGGGCATGGGTATGACAAGGCCCTGAGGAAGGAATGAACATGGTTATTGGAAACCCAGTATGGAAACTGGCCTGACTGGAGCAGCCACAGTGGGCCAAGGAGAGGCAGGGCAGGAGATGCCTGGCGGAGCAGGACACGGCTGACCCAGAGTCTCACCTGGACTTGCAGCATTGACTGCAGCAAGGGCTCATTGTGGGACCTCAAGCATGACCTGTGCTTTAGGGAGATGTCTCGCGCAGGGTGAGGGATGGATTAGAGGACTGGGACCCCATTATCTGCACAATAAGAGGAGATGAGGTCCCAGGGCTGGTGTGGTCAAGGGGGCAGAGAACACAGAAGTTTGAAAGGGAAAGATAGAGAGAGAGACAGAAACTCAGAATGACAGATCACATACAGCTGGTTTCAAATTGTGCCTCCAGATCTGTTAGGAGGAATGACTTGGTATTAAGATGTCATAAAGATATAAAAATAGACATTGCCAAGTTACTGAAGGTCTGAGCTGCCCAGGCGCTCCTCAGTTATCCACCGTGTTGGTGAAAGATGGAGACCACAGAGCTAATTCACTAAGAGCAGACAATTCTACCTGATTTTAACCAATTTCTTAATTTCCTTTCTTTTTAGCAAATCTGCTGAGCCAAAAATTATTTTAATCGATTCACTTTCTTTCTCTACTCGTATTTAATTTATGACCATGTGTAGTGAAACCACCAGAAGGGAGACGCAGGCAGGAGAGAAGAGGGAGCTCTCCATGGCCCCAGCATGCCTTTCCTAAGACAATAAGAGTAACTGTCTCCACTAATTTGGCCCCCCCAGTCATTTCTTCCTTGCCTGTTTTGATAGAGTTCCTGGAGGCCACTGGCCATTTTTCCAGTGTTAAACGGAGTAAGTTTTGCTATGGAAGCCGTGACGAGACATACTGTGGTGGAGTGTGAGCAGGAAACTATAGCTTAGCAAGATGGATGGAACCCAGTGTGGTCACTGTCCCTTCCTGGGTAGACATTTCCATGCTGCCCTCCTGGCTCTACTTTCTCCTGCTCAAGTGAATGAGCACCTACCTGCTGCAGACAACTAGACCCAAGAATGAAGGAATTATGGGTCAACGATTCCTGGATGAAAACTCGTAACACGTCCAGACACGTGACGTTTGCTAGGTTTGCACTAAAGTTTCCAAGAGCCACAGGAGTAGACCCTTGAGTAACAGGAACTGGACAAAGGTGGTGAGTTTCTACATCTCAGCCACTTTGGAATTAGCACCATTTATGCTCCTGGACGTGGTTTCCCTGTGTGCTGTGCATGGGGGATGGTAACGAGCAAGATGAGCCTTCCAGGAGGAGCGTGAGGGAGGCTTGTTTTTATGACTGGTTCGCATTTTGGTGTTGGGGGGTAATCTTACCAGGCACCCTGGACTTGTTAGGCTTTTCTGTGTCTCAACTTTAGGATCAGCAGTTTCGTGTCTATACACCCACAGCTGCATGATCCTAAAGTTTTGATCCATTTTATTTTCACATCACCCTCCTAGAGTATCTGTTTCCCGGGAAGGTGTGAATTCATCCCATAGCAGAGCATTGTGGTTTTGGATCATTCTGTAAACATGTTTTGAGCCTCTTGCTATGTTAGCTGGGCACTGTAAAGATGCCAAATATATAATGTCAAATTATTCACAGTCCTTGTGAATGTGTGGAAGGACAGTACAGTGTCTTCAGAGTCAGTGCCATCGCCTGTAAAAGTGAGAAAATAATGGTGCCTACATCACAGGCTGCCTGTGAGGTTAAATCAGTTAGATATGAAAGGCACTTAGAACAGTATGTGGCACATAGTAAGCCTGGTGTAAAGCTTGGCTATAATGACTGTTGTCATCATCAAGATTGCCATTGTTGTTAACACTGACATACCTACCGCCCACCCGCAGTAGGTCCAGTGGGTGTGGGAAGGAAGGAGTGGTGTAATGATCAAAGGAGGTTTTTCAGGAGAGGTCATTTTTGAGCTGCATCTTGAAGGAAGAGTAGATGTTGACCAAGAAGACAAAACAGAGAAGAATATTCCAAGTTGAGGGAAAGTGACAAAGGCCCAGGGCTATGGAAACACCGAGTGCTTTGGGCAACTCACGGTGCAGGAGTGAGGGGGATACCTGTGGGTAATGGTGAGAAAAGAAGCTGGATCCAGAGGAGCCTTGAGTGCTCCCCTGGGGTTCTCTGTGAGACAGGAGAGGGAACCTGCTGAGTGAGCCGCCTGGAGCAGGCCGGGGAAGATGGCAGCAGTCCACGTGGACACTGTGAGGGACAAAGACCAGCTGGTAGGACTTAGCTCAGGGTGGAGACTGAATTTGTAGGTGAGAAAATAAGAAAAATCCACTCGTCATAGGAGAGACTCTGATCAGAGGCTCTTTTGGGTGCAAGAAGGAGAGATGATTTCCAACCGGAGGAACCAGAGCAGACTTCATAGAGGTTGTGTGTGGACGTGAAAAGACTGAACAGCAAACAGACCCTGAAGACTTGAATGATGTGTCAGGAAGCTGGACTTTATTTCTAGGCCACTGAGGGTTTTAAACTGTGGAGCCACATGATCAGATTTGTGCTCCAGGAAAGGCATTTTGGCAGGACTATGGGGGCTAAACTGGAAGAAGGCCACACTCAAAGCAGGCAGACAGTTGGAGAAAAATCTAAGGCCTCAAAGACCTAGAGTCAGAACCATGCTGTGCTCGCCCCACAGGCACCAGGGGTGAAGGCAAAAGTGTTCTGCCCGCCTCACACACCTGCTGCTGCTACCTGCCCTCCCGCGCCGCGCTTCCTGGCCATGCTCCTCCAAGAAGGCCTGCAACCCACAGGACTCAACCATGCCCCTTTCCCCTCACTGCTAGGTGCTTTCCAGAAATGTGGGGTGCAGGCAGAGGACTACAGGGTCATCCCAAAGATGCCCGAGGCCAGTCTGACCCTAAGACCCCTAAACTGGAGCATCTCTGAGAAGCTTCAGTGCTACAATCGTGGAACCAAGGGGTTGGGTGTACAGAGGTTCCACCAGGCCCCCGGAGTGCCTGATGGAGCCTACCTACAGTTTGAACGGCCCACCGTGGATGCCACAGGAGTGGGCCAGCCAGCACATCCATCATGCTCACACCTTACTCCCACACAGGGCACTTGAGCCCCTCTCTGTGATAATTAATCCCCCACAAAGCATCCTCCCTGGTGGGATGAGCAGCCCCAGGTTACAGATGAGGAATTAAGGTTGGCACTAATTAAAGTCACTTGTGGAGGGACGTACTGTTAGTAGTCTTGAACCTAGGGCTGGCTTCCAATCCCATGCCTGTTAGAAAGTGCCAGCTGAAAGGATATTTTCACATTACAATGGCAACATTTTAGGCATCATGGCATACCTTAGAAAAGGTCCTTCGAAGGTCCATGGATTTCCATGAGCAGAAGAGAGCATCGGGATCATTCTCCCTTCTTGCTGCTGGTGAGCTGGTGACAGTGATGAGACAGACACCGCTAATGCCAGGTCCCCGAGAGCCCTTGGAGCCAGCAGCTTTGAGTGGGAAATGAGAGTTTGTGGGTGCTTGTCGAGTGGCACTCACCCTGCTTGTGTCTTCAGTTGGTGCATTTTATCTCAGGGGCCCACCTCAATGACCTTGGTCCCAAGGTGGGCACAGGTGGTGTTCTAGGTTTCGTTCAATGTCCCCATGCTGACATCTTCCTCTCGCCCTCCTTCTGCCGCAGATCCTGGCGCCCCTGTGAAATTGCCTTGTCTGCCAGTGAAACTGTCGCCTCCGCTACCTCCAAAGAAAGTCATGATCTGTATGCCTGTAGGGGGGCCAGACCTCTCCCTGCCATCCTACGTGGCTCAGAAGAGTGGCCAGCAGGGCGGGGCCCAGCACCACCACACGGTCCTGCCGTCCCAGATCCAGCACCAGCTGCAGTATGGCAGCCTCGGCCCGCATCTCCCCTCCACCACCGGCTCCCTCCCCATGCACCCCTCGGGCTGCAGGATGATAGACGAGCTGAACAAAACCCTGGCCATGACCATGCAGAGGCTGGAAAGGTAATGGGGGTCGGGGGTGGGGGGATGAGGGCAGGAAGGGAGGGCTCGGCTTGCGGGGGGGGCAGTCGGGAGAGGGGTTGGGGATATGACCATGACTGAGGAGTGTGGAGACCAGGGCAAGGACTCATCCCCACTGGGGGGAAAAAAGTTTGAAGGTAAAATCAAACCAAAGATTGAATGTCAAGGAAAGTAAGGAAGAAAAAAATAATGCTGTCAATTGCCAGACTACAGAACAATCACATTTATCAAAAAGAAAAAGTAACATATATGTGTATGTATGTATTATGCTGGCACATATTAGGCTTCCGTAAGTCTTAACATGTTTTGAAAGCATGTACACATAATCATTAATAGTGGTTACCCCTATGGCAGGGAGATGAGGAAGAAAATCTTTTATATTTCATATCTTTCCATACTGCTTAATTTTTTATTTTGTGTATATTACTTTTATGATATAAAATGACAACTTGGGTGTAAAATAAGAAAAGACAAGAGCTGGTAGAGCAGTAGTGAAAAATGGGGGATGGGAAAGGTGGAGAGGTGTGCCCTTGTTCTTGCTGATGAAGGAAGCAGAGTACTGTGTAGTCATGCATCACTTCATGACAGGGATGCATGCCGAGAAATGGGTCATTAGTCAATTTCATCATTATGCAAACATCATGGGGTGCACTTACACAAATCTACATCATATAGCCCACTGCCGATCTAGGCTGGATGGTACCTATCTTATGTGGCCACCATTGTGTATGTAGTCCATTGTTGACCAAAATGTTGTTACGTGGCATTTGACTGTTGTCTGACTGTATGAGTGTGAGTCCCTAATATTTAGCAATAGCCAGTGCAGCGTTCTCTCGCTGGAATCTGCCTCCAACAGCATTGCTGGGAAATCTGCCAAGACAACCCCCAAAGGCAGGCCTACAGCAGAGACCCTGACTCCGTACCACCCAGGGGAATCTCTCATGCTAGTTCTGAATCGCTCTGAGGGGTGTGTGTGTGTGTGTGTGTTCATTCATTCATTCAAACATCACCGCCCTGGTGCCCAAGAGATTTCCCATTATGATTCCAAGGCGTACTGCTTGACCTAGTTCCCTGGCATGACAAGAAGAAAGTATCGAGATCTGGCGTGAAGGATGTGTCTGAGCTGGGACCCTGAATGCCTGTCCCAGGTTAGTGACCACGGTTAACTGGGTCCTGCAGATGGGAAAACTGCAGCCTGGAGGGCCCAGCCGGTCACTAGGCAGAGAGCCAGAGGCTAGATGGACACGGTTGGGAACTTTCCGTTGTAGTTTTCTGACTCGTAGAGGTTTTCTCCCTTCCTACCTCTCAGCCAGGTATTCTATGCTTGGAAAATTAGTGACTCCAAGGGAATTTGTTGTCGCTAGGAATTCTGACTTGATTGTACCACGGTAATATCTACCTTTACTGAAAAAAATATTTGGCCCTTTGCCATCATTTTCAACTACTGTTATTATTAATGAGGCCAATAATCATTTAAAATTTGGATGGCACTTTTTAGTCTATTACACAGTTTTGTTATCATCTTAGTCCACACACTACCCAGGGAGACTGAGTAAGTGGAGAAACTAAGGGAGGCTGAGTGAGTTCCCCAACGCCAGCTACTCAGATGTGGTCCACAAACTGTTTGTTGCCCATCGGCAACCATATAGGTGCAGAAATTGAGAGCAAGCTTTTAGACACTTTGGTGGCAATTTGACAGAATCATTTTATGTCTGTTGAATCTTATGATAAAAAAAGAGTTTCACTTTTTATATATTTATTATTTTTACAAAAGCATCAGTTTGCGATGGGTTGAAAATTAAAATATGTAAATCAACCAACCAGCCAAACTGGTCCTTCCCTGCACTTCCCCTTGAAAAGCGCTGCCCTAGTCGGTAAGTCTCAGGGCCACCCCTTAAAGCTTGGGTCTTCCTACTGCAAATCCAGAACTCTTTCTACTGTAGCACAGCTGCTTTCCCAAAGACAGCTAGCGGTCAACATAATTTCCTATCCCCCTGTCTACTGTATATCCAGTGAGTTTCTCTATCTCTCAGGAGCTTTAATCCATTGAAAAAGATGCTCATGACACTATATTAGGAGGATATTGCTAAATACGTTTCCACTTGAAGCACACCATTTTAAAAGGTTCAATTGAGAGTACTAACCAACACGTTACACTGTGTTCAACAATTTCTGTGTATATTTGTAGAATATTTAAGTTGAGCATAGACAAGGGGTAAGTCTGTTGGACCTAAACTGGGTCAGGTTCTTTATTGAAATGAATCAAAGAGAACAAACGGGGGCGAGGGGCGGGAGAGATACTGTGATATTGTAGGAGGAGGGGGTGAGGTGGGAGACAGCATGATCTTGGCAGCTGAGCCAAGATCGTCCCTCGCGCTTTCTGCCACCATCAGACTCTTGTTACCTCCTTCTGTCTCCCACCCCAGATCAAGGCAAAGGGTTATTCTGATAGACCAGCTGGGACATAGGGAGCTAAGGCATACATCACTTTGACAAGATGGCCCTCCAGAGAAAGAGAGGCCTTCTTCCCAAACATAGAAAGATTGAGAGATTTTTCTGAGCATCCACATCATCTTGCAGGAGTCCTGGAAGGATCTGAGAGCAGAACAAGGTCACAAGCCCCCTGTCAGTTTAGTGTGGAAACTGCTGTTGTCTCTGGTGATGTTGCCCTTTTTTTTATCATCTAAAAATTCTCCCGGTTGCCTGTCAACATGATTTCATTCTTGTTCTGACCAACTTTAATATAGAAGGAAAGAATTACTTTTCTCTTCTGGCAATTTCCAGTGACCCCAAAAAACACTGCAAGAAGGAAGAAACATTACTGAACGTTTAGACATTCTGCCTGCAAAGACCTTGGGATCTCATAACACATCACCTGTAGGGCGTTAGTCCGGACCTAGAGTCTGACCCTGATGAAATTGTAGGTAATGTGAAAACCGAGCAGAGAATTAAACAGCATTACCGCCTGTCTTGGGACCATAAATTTAAATAAATAGCCATCTTACAGTTGAAAGGGATCTTAAAGACCATCCCAGCAGCCAGCCCCCTGCCCACTGCAGTGTTCCTCACTGTTTGTCGTCTAGTCTCTGCGGGAACTGCTGGTCCAAAGATAGCCCACCTCATTGTCGAGAAGACCTGATTATTACAAAGTTCTTCCTTATATTAACTTAAAGGTTTTACTTATTGTAACTCTCCCCCACAGTCTTATTTCTAATCTTCCTTTCCTGTGAAAGCCTTTCAAATCTTTGAAGGTAGCCAACATTTACTTTACCTAAGGACTTCTCTCTTCCATGCCAGTACTCCCAAATTCATGTAATCATTTACTAAAATGGTTTCTCGACCTTTACTATTTTGTTTATGTTCTTCCAAATCTGTTCTGATTTGTATGAAGAAGTTCTTAATCATTGCCCAAACCTGAACCTGCCTGATGACACTGAAAAACGACACGTAGTTAATTCCTTACGGCATTGGCACACCAGATTCAGGGGGAGGGGTGCAGAAGGAGAGAACTAGAGACCAGTTGATGCAAACGTAAAGAGTTCCATGTTTATTTAAATTCACGGGGCTGCCCTAGTCTTCATGGCCACACTGGAGTCATGGCGAGTCCGTGGGCTCCAGACTCTAACTACCAGTGTTTCAATCTCAGATACACTTCTTTGTGACTATGATTCCTCATCTGTAAAACAGTGATAATAATAACACCACCAACCTCATTAGGGTTGTCTGTGAGGAACAAATGACTTCATCCGAATCAGTTGTCTTACTGCATGGCATAACAGGAAGTGTCCAATAAATGGTAGTGAAGATTGAGCAAAATTAGATAGCACACAAAATTTGCCTTCAACGCCCCTAAAAGGCATATTGCAAATAGGTTTGACCCCATCTTCTTGGAGATTTTATTTGTGTCAGTTTCCTCAATTAGATTTTCTCCATTTGTTTTCTCCCCGCTTCTGATTCATATCTTTTTTGAAGGTGACATTTTATAATTTCAAATATTATGCAATTACTTTTTTGTTTTTTTTTAAGGAAGATTAGCCCTGAGCTAACATCCATCGCCAATCCTCCTCTTTTTGGTGAGGAAGACTGGACCCTGAGCTAACATCCATGCCCATCTTCCTGTAGTTTATATGTGGGACGCCTGCCACGGCATGGCTTCATAAGCGTTGCATAGGTCTGTGCCCCGGATCTGAACTGGCAAACTCCGGGCTGCCGAAGTGGAGTGTGCAAACTTAACTGTTGCGCCACCAGGCCGGCCCCTACAATTACTAAGTTTAATGTCTGCAGTAAACTCTGATCTAGTTAGCATCAATCTTGGAATTCAGACTTAAAATCCTAATCAGCCACTAATTTTCTTTCCCTTCTTAATTCAGTTGCTCAGCTCTCTGTGCTCTGGTTTCCCTCTTGGTAAAATGAAGGTGGTAGATGTACCCTGGGTGACCCTAGAGAAATTTTAGGAAGATTCTTAAGGGAATGCACTTTAAAGAAGTCTTTCTCTTCTCAATTAAAGGGAAAGGGAATTCAACTTCTAGTTGATCAAGCTAAAAATCTTGGGGTCACCCTTGATACCTGCCTTTCTATTGAACTCCACGTCTGGTGGGTCAGCAGATCCTATCCGGTCTACGGTGAGACAACATCTAGGATCGGCCACTTCCCACCTGCTCCTGCTGCTGCCCCGTGGTCTGGGCCTCCATTGCCCCTCACCTGGCATGCTGCAGTCCCGCCTGCCTGGTCTCCTGCCTCTCCCTCTGCCCCCTCAGTCCATCCATAACACAACTGTCAGAGATGACCGTTAACAAAACTCAGATCATGACTGTATTAATGTGCTGGGGCTGCCTTAACAAAGTACCATAGAGGGGGTGGTTTAAACAGAAGAAATTTATTCTCTCACAGTTCTGGAGTCTGGAAGTCCAAGATCAAGGTATCAGCAGGGTTAGTTTCTTCTGAGGTCGCTCTCCTTAGCTTGTCGGTGGCCATCTTCTCCC